GTAAAAAAGTACCTATCAAGAAAAGTAAAAATACATTTTAATATACCATGATAATATGTCTTTTAATGGCAATATTAACTAACTCAATGGTAAATAATGACTTTCAGTTTAAAAAGTAACATGGTTATTAGGTATTATATAAATGTATTTTTTGAGTTATTGTAATTTATTTGTTTTTTGAAGTAATAGTTAACTCATCAACTAATTAAGTAAATAAACAGTGTACATATTTATACTTTAACACTTTGATCTGAAATGGTGACCGTACGAATGTAGGTATTTTAAGCCAAGTAAGAATGGAGATGAGTGTAAGATGAGTGGCGCTATCTTGAAGTATTGTCTTAAGACCAAAACTTTTCCTTAGACACAGCTGTTAATTTATAGCCCATAGAGCCAATGACAACTGAGGGGCCTACATTTACAATAATTTTATAATATACAGGGTTAGTAAAAAGTCTGGAGACCCATTGTTAATTTTTTAACGGCCCGTACTAGAAAAGTTAAACTCGGCACACCTTTATGGAGTGTTATGAAGTACTTTTTGAGCATAACCACCACTTGGTGTACATCCCCAAAATGGGAGATTTTGGGGAAACTAATTAAAACAGGGGGGGGGTCTATTTTATATTAAAACATTCATATAATATAAAAATAAAGAAACACTGTAAAATAAAAATACAATGACCGGTAATATAGTAGTAGTTATGGGCGGATACAACAAAACAACGAATGTTTGTACATGCAAAGTGTGAGACAAAGCAGTAAGAACGTTTTGGGCGAAGGAAGTTGAATTTTCTGCTTGTGCTTTTTCACGCATCACACCATTATTGGGATCCGGGTGATTTCCGTGATCTCACAAAATAAAACAAACTGTTTCCGCCGAGAATTTTGAGGGAATTCAGCTTCACCGGCGTCGCAATTGTTGATGAGTGAGGAAATTCATTTGTGTATATGTATGTACCAACTTATTTTTTTTACTATAGCCAAGCTAATGTGAGAATATAAGAGATTATGTAATCCGTGTCTATTATTAATTTAGAAAGAGTTATAACAAAAAAAAACTCTTATCTTAAACAAATAGTCAATAGTTTTCTCATAACTACCCATAGGAGGTAACAGTACGTTTATTTTCTATTGACAGATATTTAAGAGCTACAAAAATATTTTCTGACGTTATGAAACTCTTTAACTTTATTTTGATTAGTTGAATATTTTTATAATACATCTTGTTCTCGTTTTTGAGCAATAAAAACAGTATCATCTATTTACCTGGAATTTATAAACTTTATAATTTTTTATGATTGAAAATAAGCGTAAATTAAGAAGTCAGGTGTACCAGATTTTTAACGTCTAACTCCTACAAGCATTTTTGGAGGCTTGAAACACTTTATAATTTATCACTTTGAAGAATCCAAGGCATTTCAATGTCTCAAATTTTGTCTGAGATTCTTATTCAAAAGAATTATGCAAAGTGTGTTACTTTTCTTGGATAATTTTGAACTTCCCTTCTTTAAGGTTATTTTCGTGTTGTATCAAAGGTAAAGAGGTTTGTCATTATACATTCTTATAAAAGTTAAACAGATTTTACTAAAGGTGGACGTTTAATTGTATCATACGTTTCCTAGTTAATTTAACGTTGAATTACTGATATGAATCGATAGTTGTGTTTTTTTATAAATATTACAATAAGTGAATTGCAACAAAATATAAATTAGTTGATAATGTAAAAATGTATAAATTAATAAATTTTAACTAGGCCTAATAGAACTGCAGTTTTTTGTGTGAATATTTATGACTACAATTATGAGTATATTAATTTGTATGCTACAAAAACGTTCAAGCTTCCATTAAATACAGTGAATCTTAAAGCTACCATATTTAAATTATGCAAATATATTGTTATTTATAAGTAAACTAAATAAGCAAAAATAATTATTTTTTTAGTATTAGCAATAATCCTTCGTTTTTAAAATCATGACCTTTTAGCTTTATCATTCTTAATTGTACTATTTTATAATTTGTTATTTGTTATATTCATACTTTATTTTGAATTTGTATTCAATAGTTATTGATATAAACTGTTGAGGTGTATAAATAATTTTTCCAATTTTGACATTCGAAAAAAAAAAAATTTATTCAGGGCCTAACGTCAATTAAGAAATTTTCACTTCTTAAAAAAGTATATAATACTACAAAGATTAAATTTCAAATTAAAATTTGCAAATAATAAGGTTTACAAAAACACCATCTTTTCGGTTTCGTGTATTAGCCAATAAATTGGATAACAACTATTTGTTTCTGTTAGTAATTGAAAACTTTTTCTATTTACACTTCACTACCTTTCATATTTGAACTCTGTATGAACCCTATATTTTTATTGTTCTGTTTATTACAAAACCTGTTCAGTCTTTTGGTTTTATATGTAATATGAAACCTAGAGCCACTCTACCTAGAGATGAATGTCATGTTATTAATCTGATAAATGACTACATGAAATTTGTTCAATTGTTTGTTTGATATTTAATTTGTTTACTTATTTGTATGACCAATTATACTAAATTATTTTGTATAATATTCTGAAACTATATTCCACGAACAAGCAATAACTTAAATCAATTTGAAATCACACAAAATATATGTTTATAATTATTATATATGTTTTATATTCTCGCAACTAAAAAACATTGAGGAGTAAATAAACTAAGTATATATATTAAATAGTAATGTTCACTTATATAAACAGACATAATTACTCAAAATGGACCTCTAAGGAATCTTTTTAAATTTTTTTTAACAAATTAATTGACTCCAACACAACTATGCATTTCTTGAACAATAAAATAGACAACTAAGTTTAAATTCACTTTGTTCTAATACTAATAAGCTACCATAGCAAAACATATCTGTTATCGTAACAACCCACTATTGAGCTCAGTAGTATCGATTCGCTTTGTTAAATTTTATTCGAATACATAGATCCTGTAATCTAAGTGCACAATTCAATTCGTTAGATCCATTTTACTGTTTGTAAAACAGTATCCCTGATGCATAATTTTAGAATTACATGCTTAAAATATAATGAGAGAGTAGAAAATTTTACTTTTCGGCCCTAATATTATTGTTATAAGCAATCTACTTTCGGATATCGAATAAGTAAAGTGTATTTGTACCCATAAAAATATGTTTAAAAAAATGCAATAGTTCTTACAATAATTTTTAACATGGACTTTAATAAATAACCTGTACAAACATATGCATCAATAATAACTCTATATATGTAGTTGACACATTTATGAAGTTATATAATCATTTCCAATCCCCTCGAGGGCAGGGTGAAAATATCCATTGGTAATTATATCCAGTTAGCGATGCCGATAAAGCCGTGAAATACACTTTACCCGATTACATTTACCAACAATACACTTTTCTCTTATCCAATGTGTTTTTATAATATTAAACTATTATGGATACTCTGAAACTATTAGCCTTTTTCTATCCTAAGCTATAACGTAAACAAACAATCATTTTAGATGTTTCATCTTTCACTATGGATAGAACTTAGCATTCCGTTTCCATGCTAACCATTTGCCAGTTTCAGCATAAAATGAACATAATTCAATTGATCTACCGATAGCGCTGATGTAATTTACAGGCTACTGTTGAATAAGCCTACTATTTAACCGAGCCAAGCTTGTAAGACAATTCATAGTAAACTGTACCCTCTTTTTGTCAAAATTTGTGTAAAATTACTAAAATGTATTCACACGTATGCAGCGTTCCGTCGTAATGCTACTCTCTTCTCAGTATGAAAAAAAAAACAGATTTAATCATTAATTTTACTAAGACATAGGTATAAATTACTGCAGAGTTTTTTTTTTTTTTTAACATAATGACTTTTTCCAATATTTTACTATTATTTATATCTGTTAAAATTTCATGGTACATTTAGTGGGGTGCAAAAGTATACCTTATTGTATTAATGGATCGGTATAACACTTAACGAGTTCATTATGTTTGTTAAGTCAATAATATCATTTTTGTTTAATTATTACATAAATAATAAGTAAACTTTAATTACAGCTTATGAACTGCAATACACTTTGTATGCGTATGCAGTGTATAGGATATTCAACCTCCCATTTATAATAAATAACAGGCAGTGATGGAAGGTGTTAGTGGGTAAAACATTAAAAAAAAATTCTCGTACAAACTAATTTTAGACAACGACATTTTCTTTTCATTGCAGCATTATGTAAGTAAACTAAGTATTTCAGCCAGGACAACTAATTTCAACTTTTAGCCTACATCCATTAAATAATAACTAATGAATAAACAGAAATTCAACTATTATAGGACCTGAAATTACCAAGCACTACCTCTGGGGGCTGCTTGAGGTTGTTTAAGGACCATAGCCTTTGAATACTACATGTACACTTCTCATCATATTTAAAATCTAAACCCTATTTTCATGTGTGTTTCATATATGATTTCACTAGATTGGGGTAATGTAACATATATAATTCCTATACTCGTTGACGATATACTAAACAAGTAAATGTTAATCAATCACGGAAATAATTCAAAAGTCAGTAAAGTAAAAATAGATTTCCAGCGAACACGAAAGCACACTCAAATAAATCTGACTTCACGTCGAAATAGTCATCAGATGATCCACAAGGATAACCAATCCACAAGGAAGTCCAAAACTAGACTAAATGTACAGTACTTGCTGATGATTTCATCTCTTGTTATTTAACATATATTTTAAAAGTAATTTAATCAATAAAACTAATTACGACAACAATGTCCTCTAACAATAGCTTTACTTCTCGTATTACGATCAAGTAAAGCTTACGTCGTAAAATTTACGCTACAATTTAATTTAGTCGTCACCAACATGAAACACGTACAAAACCCTGTATTTAATGATTGTATAATAGGAACCCGTATATTTGCTGTATTCGTAGTAATCGTAATCTAAGGTACAATAAAACACTTACCCGCTGAAACAGTCGGTGGTGAGAAGGTCACAGGCGCGCTACACACTGCCGCCGCCGCGACGCTGACTCTACTGTCGCCGCCGCCGTCGCCCACGCCGCCTCCACCGCCCCCAACACCCCTAGCGGGGGCGGCATACAATAACCGACTGATTGCCCGCGACAGTGTACAGTTAGGCGTCGCCCGACATGGTGGCTGGCCTCGTTTAGCGCCAGAAACGTGGCGGGATCTCTAAATATAGAGTAAATAGGGGAACTTGGTAATCAATACTTACAACAGGACGTACATATAAAATATGTTATAAGTCCAAAATATAAGTCAGGGTTCTAAACAGGGGCCGGGTTGGGCTTTTCATATATGATTCTGACTATAGAACCCGCTGATCGTAGTCAATACGAACCATAATAATTTTCTTTTGAATAAGCACCCAGGTGTTTCGGCGTCATAAATTTAATATAATCGGGAAACCAGATTCTGTTCTTTGAAAGAGAAGTAGTCACGATCGATATGGACCGTTGTAATCAAATTTGTATTGAAGTAAAACTTGGTTGAATAACATAATGAGTGTAACATTGCCTAATTTCAATGTTCCCTTATTTTAAAATTATCTATACAGTATATCAATAGGCAAGCATGTTTCTTTAAAAACATTTTTTCTCAGCTTTTGTGCATCGCAGGAAAAATCAATGACAACAATGACAACAAATTAATTTAAAATTATTAAAAAAATTACATGGGCCGTATTGTGGGCTGCTGTAAGTAATAATAATTGCGGTTGCAAAAAATATTGATATAGTGTTTTTTTTTCAATAGGCTATTATAATTAGCTTGCAATAATAGGATTGCCGACTATGTAATTTTATACGATTATGCCAATTTGTTTTGAAATATTAAATGTTTAAAAATGTTTAAATGATCGTTAGGTTTTTTGTAATTTAAAAACGAATCAATATTTTTATTTTTGAAAAACTATTTTTAAAATGCCATTTTCTACATACACTTGCTTAGTATACTATAACAACTATTTCAATAAAAGTTGCACGATCGCGGTTAACAGTTATAAGCAACAAGTGAGTGCTATTTATGCTGAATGTAAGTTAATAATAAATGTGTTCACTTTCAAAGCATACATGCCTACTGGCGAAAACTTTTAGTAAAGTATTCACAAATAAATAATATGAGAATTAATGTTACTTTTTGCAATTTTCTTTGTAATGTTTTAGAAGAATCTCATATACATTTAAATCTGAAGTTTATGTTCGATCTGGGTCGATTCCGTAGGATGAATTTTTCATTGGGCCACCAACTAAAGCCATCAAAAGGTCGACTTGCAGTAACACATCTAGGGTTTGGACTGTTTTGTTACAAATAACGTAGAAAATACCTTTTGGAATATAATAACACTAAAACATAAAACAAAACTATTGTCATTCAATATAATTTTTATTTATCTACAAAGTTACATGTGTTACTATACAACTAATGCGTATTATGTTTAATGTGTTATTTATTTGCAGTTAGTATTGAATTTAAATAAATAATCAAATAGAAAATTAACCATTTGCTTGTTGTTTTTTGTCATGTTATCTAAATATACCAACCAAAGTAGTTTGTGTATTAAAAGCAGACACACAATCAGCAAAAGCAAGAATTGGGTGGATATATCGTTGAAACTTTAGATATATGTCTCAGATTTTAGTCGCATCAGAACACAGAAGCTGTGGAGATCCATCGAACGGTATTTATTTTTAGGACTTATCCAGCTTATATCCCCTCAGTGTGTCTGCTTTAGTGTGTTTTGTGCGAGCTTTTGTTTGAGCGAAGTTACTCCTTGGTATGAGTTTTCATATTTTACTTCAACAACTGAATATGTTTTGTATTTAGCACCGTGCATACAGCTATTGTTTTAGAATTTCCAATGTAGCTTTTACTGTCAATCATGCTATTTATATTTCATTTAACAGTCTTTACCGTGGAATAATCATACATCCGCTAATATGCAGCAGGATAGCCAGGGACAAAATTAGGATTAGTGATAGGTTAAACCATGTTATACACAGTTTGCATGCAGTAGTGAGCCAGACAATAGCAGATTTGAGAAAATTTAGTATACTTTACTTCGGGTGTAACAGGCGTTGATTTATTAAATTGAAGTATAACAAGAGGAAAAAAATGCAATACAAAAAAACCTTTGGGCTGACCAAATTTGTTTTGACTGATTAACTAACAAGAGGCATTCGAAAATTGAAGAATTAAATATATGGTGTATAGTAAAATATTTAAATGTTAACAACAACTTATATGTTTGGTATCAATAAAAGGTCACAAAAAGAAAACTGTAATCTATTTGAATTCGTACAACACAAACCCTGTCTTCTTTAAAGACAAACTATATAATTTGTGTATTTCAAAGTGTATTTTTTTAATCTTTTTTACATATTTCACCAAACTAACGGTCATAACCTAACAGAATCAATTTTGATTTTCTTGTTAATTATTTTTGCCATGCCAAAGATACTATAGATACAGAGGTATATCACTTTACATAATTGTACGTTAAATTAACTACTGTTGACCAATTTCATACAATTATTATAAATCAAATCAATCAAATCAAATCAAAACATCCTTTATTCATTATGTACAAAATATACATGAATAGTGTCAATTCCTAAGAATACCAACATAAAAATAATATGAATAAATAAGCCGTACAACACTCATCGGAAAAAGTCATTGAGCTTATAGCAACACTTGTTATTGCTCTATCGCATGTAATACGTTCAATATTATACAACCCGTACTAAGCAGGCTTGGTAGTCTAACCAACGTAGAAAGTCAGTGGCCTCAGTGGTCATTTGATCTAGCTAATGCATACCAATGAACTGATCTGATCTGGCCTGTGACGTCATGGCTCTATCGCATGTAATACGTTCAATATTATACAACCCGCACTAAGCAGGCTTGGTAGTCTAACCAACGTAGAAAGTCAATGGCCTCAGTGGTCATTTGATCTAGCTAATGCATACCAATGAACTGATCTGATCTGGCCTGTGACGTCATTGCTCTATCGCATGTAATACGTTCAATATTATACAACCCGTACTAAGCAGGCTTGGTAGTCTAACCAACGTAGAAAGTCAGTGGCCTCAGTGGTCATTTGATCTAGCTAATGCATACCAATGAACTGATCTGATCTGGCCTGTGACGTCATGGCTCTATCGCATGTAATACGTTCAATATTATACAACCCGTACTAAGCAGGCTTGGTAGTCTAACAAACGTTGAAAGTCAGTGGCCTCAGTGGTCATTTGATCTAGCTAATGCATACCAATGAACTGATCTGATCTGGCCTGTGACGTCATTGCTCTATCGCATATAATACGTTCAATATTAGGTTAATTTATATTAAATATATATTATATGTTCGTATAATATATGAACATATAATGAAATATATGTTTTCTGACTTAACCCATTAAGCAACAAAGCCTCGTTAATTTAACATTCAAGTGAATACATTTTGTATGTATTTCAGTTATTGCTCACATGACAGTCAAAAGGTCGCCAGGTCGATCCAGCTAATAGTTAGTACGTTTTAATGGTTAAATAATTTATAAATATAATTTTTTTTAAACAAAACGTTTTTAAACGCACTAAAAAGTAGGGCATATTTTTATATGATATTTTTTTACCTAAGAACATGACCATGGAGTTTTGGGAGAGAGTTTTAGAGTATTTGCTAAAGGATATTCTCTGTTATGAGATAATACAATTATTGTTATTTCTGTTTTACAAAAGATTGTTAGCCTTCATTTCTATATTTCCATCGAGATTGTCATTCGCATTATCTACACTAATTACAATATCACACCATTTTTCAATGTTCAGAGGTAAATCTGAGACTCAAATTTTACGCAACTACATCAGCAGAAGAGTAATAATTTGGGAGTCGAAGGCTCAGTCGACTCGATAGCGCCACGGACTTCGGGCTCAAGACAACGATGGTTTGTTCGGATCCTGGTACATGCCATTACTTTTTTCAGTACACTTTCACCCATGTAATGTACCGGCTTACCCCTTACTTTTCTGGATACGTTTTACGTACGGGCAAATACCAGGTAAAGAGCCACCAACCTCTTAAAGAAAATGTACAGTTGTAATAACACTAGCCAATTATGCAAGGAAATGAAGACGATTCGTTATTTTTTTTTATAACTTTTTATCATAAACTAAACACTACCATTTTTTAAATTCTAGTTTCAACGTAGACACAACTTTATAAATATCATAATGACATTGTATACAGGAAAAAGGTAACACCGTTTGAAAATCTAATTTAAAGTGTTTTTTTCTTTAATGTATGTTGTTTCTAAATAAAATACCTCAACATTGGTGGTCAAATAATCTAATTTACCCAGATTTTTATCTTCGGTGTAGCATACGTAGTAAATATAGTACATATCGGTATTGGGGATGATTTGCCGCAATACACAAGAGGACTAACTCTATCACATGTTTACAGACTGATCGACCGCTACCTAATGACCAATCATTATCTAAAGTCATTAATCAATGTTGTTCCGTGGTCATTATCTCCTCTACAACCGCTACAATGAACAGACATCATTACCATTCATGCCACTGATCCTTTTGGCTTGACCATTTCATCGAAACTCCAATCAACTGTACATAATCTGTTCTGATAATCCAGATATAAAATATAAATTAAGCTTGGAACTTAACATAAATTATGTACATGTATCCAATAATTAATGGATACAAAACCAATGGTCCAATGATCCAAAATAAATGGTTTTGTGTGAAGATATATTCCAAAACAGAGAAAGTTCTCGTCATTTCAGATACCTTTCTTTTTTTCTAGATAGGTGGAACTACAGGTAGACCGTTGGCGATTTGCCATAGAATCACCCTTTAAAATATAATATTTTTACGTCCATTCTTTCTTACATACAGATTATTGTAAATACCATTGTGCGTCATAACCACAAGTGGTTAATTACAAAGGTTAAACTCCTCATATGTAGCCTCTGTCAACAACATACAC